CAAGTTGGCGGTAACTGGTTCCGTGCGGCGACTAATGCAGAGCCTCTAACGCGTTATATATATATATGAACACTTCTTCATGGTAACGAAGTCGATTCAACTTTCACTTTAATATAAGTTATATTTCTAACGAATTAAAAGTTACAAAGATTTGCCGACTTTTAAATTCTTTCGATTTTTAATTCTCTTACAATTAAAGACAAGGTCTAATTATATTTATATTTACATTGGTGACTCCACAGAAGTATTATTATCAGCTGACATTTTGCATTTTCGTTCTGTTTACAACCAGTAAAAGTTTGGTCTTCGGTTGTGTTACAACATTACCAAAACTGTACTTTGGCCCCTTCAACCATGATGGGGATGAACCTAAACACAGTAGAGGACTCTTAACAGAGATGAAGGCACGGTAATCTAAATTAATTCCAGTAATGGATCAATAAATTAAAAATCATTTTGCATATACAGTATTAATAATAAGTTTTGTTAAATAATACAAATGTAAGTTTTTGTACCATTTGTTATTGTTGATTAATATTAATTACGGTATAATAAGATAACGCTGTTGCAGCTCGTTAACTGATCACGACTGCTATCAAATTTTAAAAAAAGCAGAGACCTACATGTTGGTCTAGGTGGCATGTATGTATGTATGTATGTATGTATGTATGTATGTATGTATGTATGTATGTATGTATGTATGTATGTATCCAGTTAGGAGTTATTGTTTTTAGTTTTATTAGTATGATTTATTTTAGTAATATGAGGAAATACCGTAATATAAAAAAATTACAGAAATGGACACTGAATATTATAATCTAGTATAATAGTTATGTTGCTTTTATTAATGCCCAGAACATGTTTTAATCTCTCTCAACTTTTACAATTTTTTTATTGCTTTGTGTGTGTGTGTGTGTGTGTGTGAGAGAGAGAGAGAGAGAGAGAGAGAGAGAGAGAGAGAGAGAGAGAGAGAGAGAGAGAGAGAGAGAGAGAGAGAGAGAGAGAGAGAGAGGATTCATGGAAAACTGGATTTATGACATATTCACTTTTCGTTTTTTCTGATGGAATATTGTTTTAAGATCCTTAAAATATAAATTTTTGCACCATTGTGTGTCTGGTTTTATTATTCATGGGCCAGAGAGTGAATGCATACAGTTTTCAAAGTGCAACATCATGACGTTGTCGCACTGCTGCACAAACTGCAAAGGAATAATTTAATTGGTTATATAAATAGTCATCTGCGATTTCTCATTAAAACTTCTAGTATTAAAATTTGTTTCGTGTTTCTTTTAAAAAAAAAATTTAGTTAACAAGGTTAAATATTTATAACGGAGCGTTTATTATTGACACGTATATGTTTCCACCGTTATGAATGGAATATTGTGGGATGTCCATTAATTATGTCAACAATTCTTAGGCAATTTTGACACACACACACACACACACACACACACACACACACACACACACACACACACACACACACACACACCCATTGTCAACAACTTTCATTGACACACACACCCACAATAAAATTATGCGGAAAAAATGTAACAACCCCCCCCCAAAAACCCAACGATATTTTATACGGCTGGCTTTTATGCTAAAAACAGAATTATGGAAATTATAAGGTCTACAAATAAATTTTAATACATTTTTAGCTTGTGTAATGTGCAACAATAATTTGTTTCAGCATTTACGTGTGATATGCTGCTAGTATATATTATGTGCATTTTATGTTTTGTAAAAAGAAGGAATATACAAAACTGTTTGTTTTTTCATTCATTGACTTATAATTTTATATCCTGATTGTCACCAGGGGGTCCTGAACATAGTCTGATATACACTTAAATATTCACAACTTATATTTGTGAACATCGCATGGTTCAGTATTAATATTAATATCAAATTTCATATATAGTTATGTTCTTCAATTATTGAGAAAAATGAAAGCAATCAATTTGAATAACATTTGCATGAAAGCGTAGATAAAATAATGTAAATCATTATTCTATCCAATATCATTAAGAATAATTAAGCAGCATTTATAATCCTTTATTGTGAATAATGTCGGCATCTTTTTATTGGAATTAAGCATTATGATATACTGTGTTTATGTGCAAAGATGACATCAAATTTTGATAAAAATATTATGATGCGAAAACTCTGTCTTGTTGTTTAGATGTTTTCTATCATAACCTTCTTCTCATTTCTGGCTATGAGAAGGAATTTATCGCTACTTTAAGAGAAGCCTTGACTCTTGATCAGAGAGGAAGAGAGAGAGAGAAGAAGTTCGGCTCTCTTAAATAAGGTGTCTCATATGATGGTGTAGATACGGTTTGATGTGGAAAAAGCTTTGGCTACGAGAAGGTACCAATATATATATATATATATATATATATATATATATATATATATATATATATATATATATATATATATATATATATATATATATATATATATATATATATATATATATATATATATATATATATAACTAAAGATACAACATGTAAATTTATTTATGTTGAAACTACATACACTACATATTACAATACTTATTAAATAGTTCTTCCACAATCTACTATTTCATTTGTCCATTCATTTCTCTGCATTTTTTGAATACAAGTGATCTAAATATTCAAAGAGCCTAAAATTCAATAACTAATAAATGTATTTTATTCTATTTAATGTAAGGTAACGACCTTAAAAAGATCTGTGATTGTTATACTTATTATTTAAAGAATATATATTTATTCTCAAATAAATTATAACATGAAGCTAGTAATTATTTCAAACAAATTCTAATGAACATCGAGGCTGTAAAATATTTCATTACATTATGATTGTGGAAGAAGGAAACTCAATAATATTACATTATAAATACAACGAATATCAATTCAGTAAAATATCAAATCAGTAAAATATTTCATATTAGAAAAGAGAACTCACTATTACATTATATTGATAAAATAAAAATAATTCAGAAGGATATTACAACTTACTATAAAATCTTTAACTTTTAAGAGCGAGTACAAAGCATATTTTTTTACCTGTAAGAAATAGACACGACACTCTCTGATCCTGAAATCGCACTGAGACCAAGCAGCCAGTGCCTTTTTTATATCTTGGATCATCAGTATCCCACGTTTTCATTCAAGGTCAGAGAGGTCTGTCTAACGAACTATGCCTATGTTCTAAAAAAGTCACACGTGTTCTTGCGTGATAGTCAAGGACAGCTTTAACCTTATATCAAGTTTTAGAGAGAAAGTGTGTGTGTGTGTGTGTGTGTGTGTGTGTGTGGTCAGTAATTTTCCTAAGTGAACGACCTTTCAGATCATACATTGTCAATAACCTTCCTAATTGTAAGTGGTCATTCATATTCCGAACTTTTAAATCCATCTAATTTCCTAGACTGATTATCAAGTACTTTGTTCCCAGTATCACAACGCAATTAATAAGGGTTTATGGATTGAATTGTGAGATAGTACGTTATTCGTGGCTTCTATCTGATGTTGAACTATCGAACTCGGCTATTAATTAGGCTTTTTCCATTACCAAGTAAAGCTGATAAAACAAGGATAGAGTTTAATCTGAATTTATTTCAACGTTCCATTATGTTCAGGATATGAATTATTGATTGGGCCATGCTTCTCATACAATCCAAATCAATATTATAGCATTCCCCCAAATTCGCAGGTTTTTGTCTTTCAATAACTTATAAATTTCAATATATTCTACACAAGTTACTGTTATCGTTTCTTTCTTTTAAAATTGATATCTTGATATAAAGAGTACAGTAATCTTCTCAGATGCTTGAAGAGGTCGCTTCCAATCTCTCCTCTGTCAGTATCTCCAAAATCTCGGTGATAGAAAATTGCCTTTTCTCATCCTTTTGCATTCCCCTCATGTTTAAGATGTAGTCATAAATGGCATATTGGTTCTGACTTGTAATACAGTTGTCTTTGCAATATCAACCATTTCTGACCAAAGTGCTCAATATCCTTTGACGAATATTTTTTATTTTTTCTCAATGACTACGAAGTCATATTGATTAATAACGACTTCCTCATCATTATTTAATTCTGTGTCATCGGGATTTATATTTTCCAAATTATACAAAATATCGTCGTGTCCTTTCCTCTGTTTCTATCTTATTAAATAAGATACCGTTCTCATCAGGTACTAACAATGGAAAATGGGACCTGGATGCAAAAGCCCTGCCAAAGTGTTCCACAAATACTAAACACAATTTACACTTGATACACAAAGATTTCAACAAATAATTAATAATTTTTTTTAAAAAAAATTACTATGCAGCGAACGATTGTTTTATTTGAATTGAGTATTAGATCGTGGACATTTCCCAAAAAGATAGGCAAACTATCAGGATGTGGTGAGGTGTGAGAGCTCCTACTCTATATGGTATTGTGGTTATCGTTATATAGGAGATAGTCAACAGTGGTGTTTTTCCAAGATAGGGTAAACAACAAAATAAAATATGGTATTAATGCATGGAATGACATAGATCTGAGCAGAGATGCACAATAAAACAACACTAGCCCCAGAATGCGAAATATAACAATTTAATCAATTACATAAACAAAAAAGAAATTCAACATGACATTTGAATGATTTATTTTCGCTTAGAAACAGAGTTACAAAATTTATGCGAAATTCAATCACCTGTGTTATTATCTTGATATGATACATTTGATCGTATAATCAAGTGACTGATCGAACTCCAATTGTCAGCATGTCAGCGTTAGCTGGTGCTTCTGTCTTTTTCAAATCACTATGATAGGCGATTTTTATCCCCCATCTCTCTCTCTCTCTCTCTCTCTCTCTCTCTCTCTCTCTCTCTCTCTCTCTCTCTCTCTCTCTCTCTCTCTCTCTCTGACCTCTTTGTGTACACTGATCTTTTTTTCACTGTACAATGCAGCATGGATATATTTTATCAAAAATGTATTACCCATCCTAATTACGTGGAACGCTCCGGTGGCCTAGTGGCTAAAGCGTTGGCCTCGGATACGAGAGGTCGTAGGTTCGAACCCGGTCAAGTCAAACCAAAGATTTATAAAAGTGGTAATAAAAGCTGCCCCTCTAGGAGATCAGGATTAAGATATTAGTGTTATGACTGGTCCGTTTGGTTTCCGAAAAATGTGACTGGGTGGAACATCATGCTACCTGTCTGCTACATGATGAGGCAGTTGCAAAATTGTTACGTTAAAAGATCCAATCCATATCCAATTCTAAGTACGTGTTAGGTTTTTCTTTTCATGTGATCAACTAATATTTTCCACTCTAGTATACGTCTGATACCATCTGTCGTAATTCAACAGAACTAAGCTATGGCCAGGTCGCAACCTGATTGGTATGCATATTTAAGATATTTTGTTTGTTAGTTAGTCTTGTTTAATTTTTTTTTCATGATATACTATTGTAATGTAACAATGTATGTTGGACTAAACCTTATCAAAAATCAAATTTATTTTCTACTCGATCTAAGTTACTTATTTTGTTTATTCTGTAAAGCAACTAATACATAACTAAAATAATCTGTGTACGGGTTTAATAGCAGGATCGCTATTAATAGAAGTAAATATGTTTATTTGGTAGAAATAGGTTATTGAGATTCCCCAGGTGTGCCTGACACAGTCCAGATTATATATTGTCTCGTTTTAGCTGAAGAGTTCAAGAATTGAGTCCATAATGGCGGCATCAGGCACAGTCCAGATTATATATTGACTCGTATTAGCTGAAGAGTTTAAGAATTGCGTCCATAGTGACGGCACGACTTACCTTGATGCACACAACATCAAAACATTATAAAATGTTCCTTTTATAGCTGACGTTTATTCCTTAGTTCATACAGTTTCTTTCGTCACCATGCTTTCCCTTCAGCTGTCTACTGGTTAAAAAAACAAAAACATTTCAACATAATGCGAGCACTCCTAAGGTGGCCCTCAGTAGTTATTATGTACTTTTGAGAGAGTGATGCATGTAAGGTGAAGTTGTTTGCATTTCAAGCATGCACAGTGGAGAGAATGTTGGCATACCTATATGCTCTTTTTATGTAATCTGGCTGAAATTTCTTTGGATATTGTACTTTTGGAAATTTTAAATGATCTTAGGACACTGCTAACTAAAATGACTGCTCCAATGTGCTCCAAAAATCTACCTGAATTTGTCTAAAGTACACTATTCTTGGCAGTTGTTAAATATGGGAAATGAATTTTGCCAAACTAGACAATAACAGCTTCTAAAATTGTAATGAATGAATTACCAAATACACAAAATGTAAAAAAGTTATCGGCTCTTTTTTTTTTTACAATTTACCTCAGAAGTTCGAGAAGTAAAAATGAGCAAGTAGAGCTAGCACTTTTTTGAAAGATGCACATCTGGAGTAAGACCAAGCTGTATACTCTCTAACCCATATTACACAAATCAATCATACATCAAAATAAAGGGAATTAAAGGTTCTTTGAACAATACAAAGTCTCTTTTAAATAGCCAGTATAACTAGTGAAGAAACCAGGGAAATTCTTTTTCTTTAAAATTCTAACCCTGTGCTAAATACGAAACTGTAGAGCGCCATCTAAATTTCAAACTGGCACTACTTTTAGAAATCAAGTTTCTGATTAGATTGATTAGAAATCTTTATCTCTTCTTGCATGCGCCTTTGAAAGAAAATAGGACACGTTATTCACTAGAGCTAATAACTGAATAATAAGTAACAGAATCAAAACAGCCCTATGCTTTTATTTTTAAGAGGTCAAGGCCACAGTCATGTATTGAAAGAAATACATTTTATGTCAAATAAACCACAGTCTGATTTTTTTTATGGAGAATTATGAACCATTTATATCAAAGGATTCAATGCCACTCATGAGTAATTCAGCGAATAATATCCCTATTAAAAGTTTAAGGGACACAGTAGCTTCTCATAGTCTTTTATTATCAGGTGCATTGCCCTTTTCTTCAAATTAAATTTGTTCTTATTCAGCGAGTAGAGTGAGGCTTTGTTAATGTTCCTCTCTATTGTGTAAAGGTGTCATCAGACTAAGTCTCACGACACGTGACAGTCGGAACATTGGTGTCTTTACCCATCGAGGGCATTCATTTATTACTAGGCAATGACCTTGCTGAAAATAATTTTATCATTAATCCACTCGTAACTGACAAGCCTTTTTTGGATCAGAAAGTCGATCCTACTGAAAAAGAACCTCCTGTATTGGTCAAGCTTTTGATGAGATCACTTTTGCTCATCGTTTTTGGTCAATTAAAAAGCATTGATCACACTGCCTGTTTGTCATTTTGTTAAAATATGGGGTCACTATGAGAAAATGGATACCACCTAAGGTATCTGCTGGTGACGAGTGGTCCAGGAACTATCAGATTGTAGTTGTTAAGTTGTTCTTACAAGAAATTCTTAATCTGACCTATGAATCATTTAGATATCAGTAAGTCTTGTCATAAGATTTTTAGTTACTTTTATTGTTCAAAAACTGAAAGTGATGTTTGTAAATACTTCAGATCTTGTTCTACGTGTCAAATGGTAGGAAAACCAAACCTAAACATACCTAACGCTCATCTCCAAACTATTCCTGCATTTGACGAACCACTTATCAGATTAATATTAGACTTTGTCAGTCGCTTACATAAGATCAAGTCAGGTAACCAATGTTTGTTGACCATAATGTGTGCGTATACAAGATTTCCAGAGGAAACTGCATTTAGGAATATTAAAATTAAAATAATTGTGAAATCTGTGATAAATTTTTACTCAATTGGGCATGTTCAAGTCTGTCCAATCTGATCAAAGGGTCAAATTGTATGCCTGAAATGTTCCAGCAAGTTATGAATGAATTATGCATCCAACAATTCAAGAAATCCAGTATTTTCTGGAGAATGATTTAATATCATAGAACTGAATAAAAACGACTGGAGTTCACCATGTATACTTGTTCCAAAACTAAAAAATACTTTCCGAATGTACACTTATTATAGCAGTTGAAAAGTGTGATTAAAACAGATTCATTTTTCATTGCCAATAATCGATGACTACATTGATGAAACTGAAAGGACAAGCTATATCACCAAATGTGTCCCTTTTAAAAAGATCTTGTCAAATTCCACTGACGGAAAGGGCACAGTAAAATTCGGCATTCGTAAGTCCAGATGGACTTTATCAATATAATACGATGCCGTTTGGAATGAAAGGTTCAACTTGTACTTTTCAACATTTAATGAACATGATTACATCTGGTCTAGATACTTGTGATGCTTACATCGATGATGTCATCATCTCGAACGATATCTGTAAAGATTACGTAAAAACAATTCGGAACTTATTTGACAAGTTCACTGATGTAAATTTAACAATTAATTTATCCAACGGTTAGTTATGTTTTGTTTGTGTTACATTTCTTTGACATATTGTGGGACATGGACAAGTTAAACTTATAGATGCTAAGGTCAAGGCTATCTTTGAACCCCGTGAAATTATAAGTGAAAAAGCAGCTGATGAGATTGTTAGGTAAGACTTGATACTATAGTAGTATTAGGAAATGAGGGTTTTGGTTCACTTCATTTTTTTTACCCTCCAAACAAATATAAATTAAATGAGGGTTTCCAAAACAGGGAAATGAGGGTTTTGGCCCACCACCCCCTCCCACACCTATTAGAACGATTCAGTTAACAAGGCGGAAATTAAACTAGCATTAGAATGAAAATGATATTATTTTAGTTATATTATATCTTAAGTTTAGATAAAATTTTATGTTACTCATATTTTTTGTGATATTTTTTTCATACTTGCTAACCCTCATTGGTAGAATATCTGTTAACATATTGTCAATAATACGAAATTCACGTAATAAATCATCCATATTACTTTTAACTCCTCGTAGGTAAGACCGGATCTGATCAAGTAGTTTCTTGTAAGTTTTAATTGACGTTAAACATCCGTGCTTTTTTATCAAAAGTCTTGGTTCTACTTTTTTACACGCCGCTGTCAGTGAAACACCAATACCAGATATAATTAACAAAAATGGATTAATGATACCCCACTTGAAATTATACCAGAACTGGCCATTAACAAGGGTAGATATGATATTACTCGAAGGATTTTGTTGTAGTATTTGTAACATTTTTTAACACACCAAAGTTTTTTTTATGATAATATTTATAGTACTGTATTAGTGCGTCCACATCCTGTTCTGGAATATCTTTTGAAATGTGATTAAAATCAATTATACTTCTTTTCATTATAATATTTGGTTACATAGTTATGATAAATCAGCTACAAATTCCAAACACCACCGATAAGGACCTACAAAATTTTTATCAGTTGGTTCAAGTGTAAATTCCTCCTCAGAATTTTTGTTTAATATTACAGATACTATTCCAAATATGTCATCATCTAAATAACGCCATGAATATGTGGTAAATATTTTAAACTTTACACTGCTAAACACTGACAATCTATACACACCGGTAACTTCTGCAATATATTTGATAGATTTGTTTTGTGATGTCCATCCACTATAACCAGATGCAACAGTATACACAATATTTTTAATCTGTTTGTGAGGTATTTTAATCATATTCGTTTTCTCAACAATATTAGGAATCCCACTAATAATATCATTGAGTTTTGTGTTAATATCATTGAGATTTGTGTTAATATTAGCGAGTGTAATGCTAACATTTGATGGATTTCCAAAAAATTCATCTCTAATTTTGATTATGTTTCTGCGAAAATTTAAAAATGTGTTCACGTGACCGGTAAATTCATTTTTGAGCGCTGTTATTTCATTACTGATTGGAACGTCCTGATCATCAACATATTTCTTAGTGACAGCATCCCCATCCTCATTTGGGTTTCCAAGATCTGTAATCTTGTTTTGTGTCATAACAATATTCCCACTTGGATTTCGTACAACTACATCTGACAATTTTACTTTACTCGTCTTTAATCGTCCTTCTTTGTCCTGGAAAATGACGACTTCATCTGGATCTACGCTGGTAAGATTTAGTAAATTATTGATTTCATTTTTGAG